TAGAACACTGTGTATGACTGTATATTACGGTGTGTTTCCTTGCAGAGTTCTGTGTGAGACGGTGAAGGACTTTGTTGCTCGGGTCGGTAAAGCTTATGAGAAGAACACCGAGAGTTCAGAGGAGTCAGAGGCCATGGCCAAGAAGGTACAACACTCGGTCCAATCGGTTTATACTCTTCAGAGGATTTAGTCTGCCCTCTGAAAAGTTGGGATAATAAATATTCTGAGATGAAGGAAGACCGGTCCTGTTGATTGTCCTGCTGACACATACAGAAATTAAAAGTCAAAGGTAACAAACTACTGGTTGGCTTATAAAGGGAGCAGGACCTCTGATCTGTAACTCTAAAATCAGGTTTAATGAAAGTAAAGGAGACGCTCTGATGTTTAGATCTCATAGAAATCAGACACAAAAAGCTTTGGGCCGTGCCTGATGTCCACATGACCAATGAGTCTTGTTTCTGATGAGTCATGTTTGTGTTATTGATGAGTCATATTATTTTTCTGACGAGTCATGTTTGTAAATCTGATGACTCTTGTTTATGATTCGGAGGAGTCGTGCTTTGATGAGTCATGTTTGTATTTCTGATGAGTCGCCTTTCTGTCCCAGTGTGGCGTGCTGAAGGAGAAGCTCGACTCCCTCCTGAAGACTCTGAATGAGGAGTCTCAGGCCTCCTCCGTCCTCCCCCCGGCTCCTCCCCCCACCATCGCCGAGGAACAGGAGGAGGTCGAGGGCGTCGTCCTGGCTCCTCCTCCTCGTCCTGCTCCTCCTCCTCATGCCCCACCAAGCTCCACCCCCTGCTCCCCACGGACCAACCCCTCCTCCTCTTCGGCGGCGGCCGCCATCTTTAAACCTCGAGAGCAGCTGATGCTGAGAGCCAACAGCCTGAAGAAGGCCATCCGGCAGATCATCGAGCACACGGAGAAAGGTGGGACTCGCCTGAGTGTGTCACCAGAACAGGTGTGTGGTTGCAGGTGTGATGGCTAACGTCGCCTCTGTGTACTTTCCAGCCGTGGACGAGCAGAACGCTCAGACTCAGCAGCAGCAAGTTTTCTCTCTGAGCCGAGCCGAGGAAGACGAGGGTCTGGTGGAGGAAGACGAGGAGGAAGACGTGGACGAGGACAAGATGTCTCTGCAGTCGTCCTACAGCTCCAAGAACCGCAACACTCGCAGAAGTACGACGAGTCACCACCGTTCACACCTCATCCATCACCAGGCAGTTTGTTCAGAGACTTTATTTTGTGCTGTTAATGACATTTGTGTGTCTGTTTGTGTCTTTAGTCAGTAAGACACCGTGTGAGAAGCTCATCAGTAAAGGCAGCCTATCGCTGGGCAGCTCTGCGTCACTTCCTGTCCAGACAGGAAGGGGAGAAAACATGCCAATGCTCAACACAAAGATCCTCTATCCAGGTGAGAAGATGGCGGCTGTCTGTTGCAGGTTGCTGATTGTGGTGTTACTGGTTGTGACGTTACTTTGTGTTTTTGTGTTTCAGGTTCTCTGTCGAGCAGCTCCGTCATCAGTCGCCTGCTGGTCAACGCCGACCCGTTCAGCTGCGACCCCGACAACATGTGAGTCCGCTGGCTCGAGGCTTTGTTGCTGCACCACGAAATCGTGGCTGCGTTCAGGGTTTTCTCACATTAACCTCAGTGTGTCTGTGTGCGTTAGGGACTGCTACACCGAGAAGTGCGTCATGAACAACTACTTCGGTATCGGACTGGACGCCAAGATCTCCCTGGACTTCAACAACAAGAGAGACGAGCATCCGGAGAAGTGCAGGTACGACAGAACCAAACGTTTTTATCTTTTTACGTCGTATACGTTATGAAACATGATTGTCGGACATGTCACCGACCTGCTGCCTCTTCAGGAGTCGGACGAAGAACATGATGTGGTACGGAGTCTTAGGAACCAAGGAGCTGCTGCACAGAACCTACAAGAACCTGGAGCAGAGAGTCCTACTGGAGGTGAGAACCAGAACCACAACATAGAACTTCATGACTCCTCTAAGTTTGGTTTCCCAGTGAAGCTTTGTAACCTACTGACCATTCATAATCTCTTTTAAAGCCAGACACGGCGTTACATCACCAGATTTGTGGAATAATTAAGATTTTGACCAAAATTAGTTCCTGTAAACATCTCTGGAGTTCATGGTTTGATTAAAGACCAGTAGAGCTGTGATTTATGCACGGTTTCCCCGCTAACTGTGTGTTTGTTCTCCAGTGCGACGGGCGTCCGATCCCTCTGCCCAGTCTGCAGGGAATCGCCGTGTTAAACATCCCGAGTTACGCAGGAGGAACCAACTTCTGGGGGGGAACCAAAGAGGACGATGTAAGTTTCATGTAGCACACAGTTATTTGCAGAATATTTCTCATTTCTAAGGACATCGATTCCTGTTTAGGGTTGTACCTGTGTAGGGGAACTGTTGGCGTCTGCTAAGGAAGTTTTAGGTAGCTCCTAAAAAAATGGACAAAGAGATGTTTAACGGATGTTTGACTGTGGTGGTCCGAAGTAGAGCAGATTTGGTGATGGTCAGCATGAGGTTGATTGGTAACTGACTAGAATATGTTCCGTGTGGAGTAAGTACCTGTTAGTGGACACCTGTGTGTCAGCTGACCTGTGATGTCATGACTCCTCCCGTCTGTCTGCCAGACCTTCACAGCTCCGTCCTTCGATGATAAGATCCTGGAGGTGGTGGCCGTGTTCGGCAGCATGCAGATGGCCGTTTCCAGAGTCATCAACCTGCAGCACCACCGCATCGCACAGGTACCTGTCCGCCCACCTGTCTCCCTCCTCACCTGCACCTGTCTGTAACCGTCTGTCTGACCCCGTCTCCCTCCCTGCCTCAGTGTCGGACAGTGAAGATCACCATCCTGGGGGACGAGGGTGTCCCGGTGCAGGTGGACGGGGAGGCCTGGATCCAGCCTCCAGGTTACATTAAGATCATCCATAAGAACCGGACCCAGACCCTGACCAGAGACCGGGTGAGTGTTGCAGGTGGGAGTAGGGGGGGCAGGGGGGACAGCGCGGTCCTGGTCAGAGCCAAGTGGTTGGTTTTCAGTCAAGGTTTCTGCCAGAACATGAACAGAAGGTAACTTGGGTGAGATATAGCACAAGATCTGTGGAGAATTTAGAACTTCCCATCGTGGTTCTGCTTCGTCAGTGGAAAGCCTGCACAAATCAAAACACCTCCGAAGTCCTGTAGCAGCTACTTTTATTGTAGCTCTTTTAAGGAGGAACTATAAACGTGTGGATGACGGAGAATCTCCTCGTAACTCAATACTTGTCTTCCTGACTCGCAGTCCAGGCTCGGGATGTGAATGACTAACTGTTGATTAATTATTTGCCGTTTATTAATTTATAAAAAAAGTTTTCAAGCACGAGTTGTCCTTCAGTGTGTCCTTGTGTGTGTTGCAGGCCTTCGAGAGCACCCTGAAGTCCTGGGAAAACAAACAGAAGTGTGAGTTCCCCCGGACTCCGCCCCCTCAGCCTCCCCAGCCGCCGCTGTCCTCCCAACCAGAGATCGTCTCCGAGGAGGAGGCGTCACTCGTCAGCGACTTCGGTCAGGCAGCCGGAGCCCTCATACACAGGTGATACAGCATAACATCCATCTGTCCATCCGTCCAAACTGTCGGCATGGAGACTAAGTGTGCTTCTATTGTTTCAGCATCCGTGAGGTCGCTCAGTCTCACCACAGTATGGAACAGGAACTGGCACATGCCGTCAACGCCAGCTCCAAGGCCATGGATGTGGTCTACGCCGACTCCGAGAGCGCAGGGGTACGTGACAGCTGTACCGTTGGGACTGTTCCGTCTAGTTCTCTACTGTACCTTCTCCTCGTCTTCATCTGCTGTAACGAACATGTTTTGTGTTTTCAGGCTCTGAGCTGCAGCGTGGTGGTTCAGATGGTCAGCAACGTCAAAGCTTTACTCAGCGAGACCGAGCTGCTGCTGGCTGGAAAGATGTCCATGGTAACTGTTTTTGTCTTTTCACTTTAAGTCTGGATAGATGGTCATGCTCTGGTTCAGGTTCTGGTTCTGACAGCTGTCTCTCTGTGTTTGTGCAGCAGTTGGATCCTCCTCAGCAGGAGCAGCTGAATGCAGCTCTGAGCTCTGTGGCTCAGCAGCTCCGTCGGCTGGCTGATGTTCCCTGGTTGTGTCCATTCATCGACCCGTCGGACCACGAGGTGAACAAGCGCTCCATCAGGACTCCATCTAGGTTTCATCTGACCAAAGATCTGTCTGGACTTTGGTGGATATTTGGCAGATGTTTAAAGAGTATCTGATGTATGGTTGAAGTAGGGACGTCCCTGGATCAGTCCTTTAATATTCACTGGTATCTAGCTGTAGTTCCTGGTCACACCACCAGCTGAAGCGTCTTACTGTTTATTTCAAAGGAACACTGTGACATAGACTTAAATGAGGTTTGAGAAAGTGAGAAGGTTAAAGAAAGACAGCAGGTCCAGTTTTCATGTCGGGATCAGGCTCGAGACATTCCTAGTTTAAAGGATGTTCGAAAGATGTTTGACCAATTTTTGACGGATATTTGATGGACGTTGCCCAGCTGTCAGTGTGTTAATCCAACAACAATGATCTCTGTCTGTCTTCAGGGTCCTCTGATTGACTTTTCGAAGCGCAGTCGCAGTGCCAAGTTTCGTCTCGTCCCGAAGTTCAAGAAAGATAAAAACAACAAGAACAAGGAGACTTGTGCGACTCTGTCACTGCCAGGTGAGCTCTTTGTCTGTCGGACCTTTTCAGTCTCTCTCAAGCTTTCTAACCCTTCGTTCCTCTGTTTAGTCTGTGGGTCAGATGGTAAAATCTCAGCGTTCTGTTAAGTCACTGGTGGAGGATCTGTCGTTTCTCTGTGTTCGGGTGCTTCCTGTCGGTCTGAATCACTTTCTGTTGGTGTCTCAGTTCACCAGTGGGGGACGGAGGAGGTGGGGGCGTGGCTGGACTTTCTCTGTCTCACTGAGTATAAGGACATCTTTATCGGACACGACGTCCGCGGAGCTGAGCTCATCCACCTGGAGAGGAGGGACCTGAAGGTACTGCTGCTGGTTCTCACCGCTAACAGCTACATGCTAACAACTAACTAACTAACTTTGCTGAGCTGTTGATCAGCTGCATGGAGATCTGACATCATGACGGATGTTTGACACGTGGGAGCTCGAAGGAGGTTGAAAGGGTGTTTGTAGATGTTAGACTGGATGTTTGATGAAGGTTGAGGAACGTTTGATGGATGTTTGTATACCAGATGGATGCTGGTCTGTCTTGTAAACGTGTGCGTGATGTTGTCTGTCCAGGACCTTGGTGTGACGAAGGTGGGTCATATGAAGAGGATCCTGCAGGGCATCAGAGAGCTCAACAGGAACAGCAGCGCCAGCGAGGCCTAACTGCCACCAGGTAGCTGCTGCTGCTGTTGTTGTGTTTGTTATCGTGGACTGACATCAGTAAACAATGATTCTGACTGTAGTTCAATGCTCTGACTCTTGGTTGTTGTTCTTTTGTTGCCCAGCAACAGTTGCCTGTTCCCCTCCCTCCTCTGCTGCTACTCCCCACCTCGCCCACCTGACCCGACCTCCGAACTCTGACCCTGGACCAGTGCTGCAGGTCTGCCACATCTCACCTGACGACTCGCTGTGATTGGACCAGGATCGGGACCAGAACTCAAATTCAGGGGGGGAAAAAAACTGACCAAACCTCTTCATATAGTGACCACCAATCAGATTACCCGCCAGTGCCTTGTCATCCCACCCACCAGCCAATCAGTGAGGAGGTCGGGTGGGCGGCGATCCAGAGCCAAAAGTTTCTGAAGGGCTGCACCGGAGCCATAAAACCACTGAGCTGGTTCACAGCAGGACTGTGGAAACGAGACTGAACTGTGACGGTGGAGTTTTCATCAGCGCTGTAGAATCCCCTGAACCCAACAGGACGTTCTCTGAAAGGAGCACAAGCTTCTGTTTCTGAAGGTTATTTCCCAAAAGCACCACAGCAGCACTGCGAGCATCTGCCCCGTCAGCACAAAGCTTCTAACACATCAGAGAAAAGTAGTCGAGTAGAAAAGTAGAAATACTCTGCTGTGTTTTCAGATTGTTGACTGAAAGACTTTCTGCAAGAACTTAAAAAAAGTTTATGTTGAAGCTCAACTAACAGCGATCACTGCAGTCGATCAGTGTTGCTACTGAAGACCTCACAAATAGTATTGATTCAGTTTTTAATAACTTGTAAGCAGCTTCTTGAGGGTCCAGCAGAACCTGGAACCACAAACCACACATCAGCACCACTGTGTTCTTCGTCCAGCTTTAGTGACAGATTTTTAGATCCTGTCGAGAAAAACAGACTTTGAAGACCAGACGACTTGATGAGCTGGAGGTTTGTCCTCAGAGACTCGGGCTGCTGGTTAGAAACCTGGCCAGGTGTCAGCAGGCGTCCTGTGATCCAGATCAGGTAGATGTTGCTCCTCGAGGGGCTCCGGTCTTCGGGAGGTTGGTGGTCATCACACCAGGACGACTCCAGAAACCCAACAGCTGACGTCTACCTGCACCAACCCGGCCTCACCTGACCAGCGACCATCAGAACACGTTGGACCAAGATGCAGCAAAAACCCTTTAAACAGCAGCTCAGAGACTTCAGAGGAAGCGTTTCTCTGCCAGTGATGGACCACTGTGACACCGAGTGACTGGATGGAGAGTTTTCTACTAAAACATATTTATTGTCTTCTGATGTTTAGAGTGTCTTAAAAAAAAAAAGAAAAGAAGTAGACAGGTAGAGACGCTGGTGGACGGGTCAGGTGGTCTGATGGAGACCAATCAGATCGTCGTCTCCTGTCTGCCGACTTCTTTCTGTTTCTGTGTTCGTCCTTCTGTCCGTCTGCAGGTTTGTTATGTGGTGTTCAGTTTGTTTCCCGACAAGCAACAAAACAGAACCTTTGAGCGGTTTACAGAACTTTATCGGCCGTCGTCTGAAACTGTTTGAGGGACCAAACGAACGGATTATTATCTGACAACCCTGATTTAGTTCAAACCTGATGTCTATAAGAGATTAGCGGAGACGAAGCATCTCCGAGCAGCGACCTGAATCCTCTTAATTTAACTCTTTGAAGCCTTAACTTCAGCTCAGTCAGTGAAGCATCATCAGTTTCTGCTTCTCATCAACTCCAACCTCTGTTTGGTTGCAGCTCCAGTTTCATATCATCGTAAATCCAACGTCCTGCGGTGGACATTTGTTGTTTTTTTTTCCTCAACAAAAAGCATCAAACTGTTGGTTTTACTCGACAGCAGCACTCATCAGATGTTGTTGAAACATCACCCCGTCGTCATTTTGGTCTAAACGATGGCGTCCGTAGCATCGGAGTGTTCTGTCAGCCAGAAAACCGCAGCTTTCCAGTAGAGCAGCAGTGCAGTTTAGTGTTTACATGATTTATCGTTCCAGGTTGTCGGACTGAAACCAAACTTTATCAAGCGATGCCTTAAACCTCCCGTTGATCACGCGTCAGTGTCAGCCGGCTTCACGCATGCAGTAAACGTGTTTCGCTGTTGAATCTGCCTTCAGTCGCTCTGCCGCACCGTTTAGTCTTAAAGCGGGAGGCGACGCTCAGAAGAACTCAGATGTTTTCTCGTTTAAACCAGTTCAGGTCAGTTGATCCTCAGAGCGACGGCGCTTCAGACGAGGCTGCAGCTTCCTTTCGCTGCCTTTCAGTGTTTTTGTCTGGTTGTTGTTCTGCTGTCAGACGCTGAGGCTTTAACCTCAGTGTAGATGTACGACGAGCTGTTTTCACATTTAGTATCTGACTCTGACTCTCCGGGATTTAAATTACAAATATCAGCAATTCTGACCACTCAAAACCTCGGCCTGAGAGATCTGGAATTCAGTTTGAACTAGTCGAGATGATAGCTGTAGACGCCACTTATCACGACGAAGCAGAATCACAGTTTGATGTCTGCGATGTCATTTTGACCAGAGTCAAAGAAGGACAATGTCGATATTTTGAATTTCGGGGAGATAAAGATCTCTTGTACTAGAAGTCAGAGTTAACTGTAGTCATCTGGTTTTCTGAAATGTTCTTTTGACTAATTGAATTGCAGCTCATATCCAGTCTAGATATTAAGTGTTTAAACTGCTCGCTGTGGTGAACTTCCTGCAGCTCCACTGTGACTTTATATTCTGCTGCTGGCTTTGCAGCTTGGATCACTTCTGCAGTTTGTTTTTTGCTGTTTTTCATTTCATGGTGAAATACTCTAAAGCAGACAGTGTGTAAATACAACAATGAAGAAGCTAAACTATTGCTAACAGCTACACCAAATCCCAGAAAGATGGTTTATATTTTTAGAACTTAAACACAAAGAATCTTCGTATCATGTGCACAAGATTACTCCAACACAAGGGCTCAGTTTCCCACAAACGGATGAAGCCAAAACAACTTTCATTTAGATCGTTATTGAATTCTTTTGTTTGTCTCCGACGAGGCTGACTTTGCGTGTGGAAAACTGACTCAGATATGTACTCTGCTCTTGTTTCTATATAGATCTGTAGCGTATCTGCAGAACTGCTGTCTTACATACAGACGTGGACACATTTTGGATCCAGATGTTAACCTGCTGCTCACAAAAAAAAAAACCTCAGTAGGAATATTTCAGTTTTAGGAACCTGAAACTTTGTCCAAAAATTTTCACGATCTCAAAGTAAACAGGAGCCACTGCAGCAGAAATCAGTGTTTCGTGACGTTGGTGTGATTCCAGCGATCGTGCAGGTGTGTCGCAGGTGTTCCAGCACCTGTCGGCCTCCTGCAGTGCCTTGTTCATTTCAAACGGAGGTTCGTCCTCCGCTGTCGACCCACATGTGTATTTATTGGATAATTTATGGACCGATCCTGATACTGTACGCTGTCATACCTCTGTTTGTACATACGCCCCCTGCTGGGCCGTCACTGTAAATACATGTTCTGTTTGTACAGAGAAACATTGAAACGTCCCGAAAGAAATAAAAAGTTTCATGTTGTCACTGGAGAAAACTCGGCCAGCGTTTCTGTTCTGTGTGTGTGCAGCATTTTTGCTTTTTTGAGGTCCAAATTTGACTAAAACTTTTGAATTCAGCAGCAACAAGTCTCCGTTCGGGATGAGTTGTTGAACATAGCAGAGCATTTAGAAGCTTAAGAGTGAGATATGTCCTTCAGGAGACCAAAAACAGAGGTGAAACAAAGAATACTGGAGATCCAATTAAGTTTTGTGCAGCGTTTTTGCTTCTTTTAGCAAAAAGTTTAGCTGCTTTCAGAGAATCAGCTGTAAAACTCCTGTTAGTCTTTAGCTGCTTAAGAGCCTCATAGTTCCCTGAGGAGATGGTAGAGACCAAAACTGAGCCATAAGACAGCGAATATTGACCTTGGATTAATCACATTAGCAACTTAAGAACAAAATCCTTCTCTCAGGAGGTGGAGGAGACCAAAAACAAAGCTATAACAGAGACAATACTGGACACCAAGTTAGCATACATTTAATAAATCCTTAATTAATTCCTAAAAACATCCCAAATACCCAAAACTAAACCAAGGTGTCTGATGGCTAGAGGCTAATAAAATGTCCAATATCAGAGGCAGATAGGAAAAGGTCCAGAAAGTGGCAGGATTTAGAGAAACAGAAAAATAATAATAAGAAAACACTACTTTATGTGTTGTAGGTAAATTACTTTCATTGTTTTTTAGCAAATATACAAGAAACAGTCAGAATGTTTTACCAAACAAGATTTGCAGCTTCTCTTTGTCATAAATGAAAGCAAAATAAAAACTGAATATTGTTTTCGAGTGAAACCAGACAGTTAAAGTTGGACTCTGTTCTGACAGGTTTTGTCTGATGATTTCTTAAAGCTCTACTGTCTATGTAGAGTCATAAACACTGTATACTTAATTTAATACATTTAAACCGTTGGTCCCAGAGCTGTAATCTATAAACACATGAGCTGCCTCCTGAGTCAAAAAAATATTTTATGCATTTGTGTTTTGAATGTGTTTTATTGGGGATTCTGAGATCAAACAAAAACCTGAACAGAAAATTCCTGAATGTAGAAATCGGGAATTTTTTGACTTGGGACATTTTTCCCACAGCTCCGTCTTGCAGGTTCGTTCTGTTGTCGTCCTCTCTGCTGTCTGTGTGTCAATATTTGAGCTGTGGTTAACGATCAGTCAGTCGACTGGAACTCTGTCCTCCATTTTCCCTCCACAGAGACGCCAGACGTCCGTCCTGACGAGACACAACAAGAGACGACGAAGAGACGGACAGAAATGCAGCCGTCCACAGCTGTGACTTGGAGTCTTTGCACTCTGTTGATTGGCTCTGCATTGATCCAGTGTTCAGGTGAGAGACTTACAGACAGACGGACACCTTGACCTAACCTCTGATGGGTTTGTGATAAACAGATCAACATTATGGCGGTGAAGAGCACCGTGAGCAGCACACTAATACTTCTACTACTAGTCGTATTGTAAGTAGTACTACTAGTTCTCCCTCCGGATGCCCAAGCTTCTCACCCTATCTCTAAGGCTGAGCCCAGCCCACCTGTGGAGGAAACTCATTTCTGCTGCTTCTGTTCTCATTTCTTTGGTCACTCCCCAGAGTTCATGATCATAGGTGAGGGTTTTGGAACTCGACAACTGTGGGCTAGAGCATAGATTGGTCTTTCATCATCCTAACACTGTGGACTCTGTCACAATTTGTCCATCTCATGCTGCATTTTCCTCATGAACAAGATCTGTAGAAACTTGGACTCCTTTGACCTGGGGCAGCGACTCACCCCCAACCCAGAGGGAGCAATCTACCAGAACTACAGCCTCACGCTGAAGGTCATGGTGTGATGAAGCCAACCAAAAAACGTCATCTACAAAAAGCAGAGACACAACTCTGAGGTTACCATGTCGGACACACTAGTATCGGAGACATGGGGCAACCCTGGCCAACACCAATTGGAAGTCTGTTTGACTTTGTGCCAAGACAACTAACACAGCTCTCACTATGGTTGTACAAGGACTGAATAGCTAACTACACCCCTGGTACCCCATACTTCTGTAATACCCCTTACAGTGTTCCAAGGCTTATCCCAACTCCATGAAACATGTGGACTGGCTGGTCAAACTCCCATGACCACCTCCACAACTTTGCAAGGGTAAGAGTTGGCGCACTGTTTCACGACCAGAAGAGAGTCCACATTGCTCCTCCTCCTCCTTAATCTGAGGTTTGACAGTCTGCCTTCCAGCACCCTGGAGTAAAATCTCCCAGGGAGGCTGTGCATGTGATAGCCCAATACCCTTTGATCCCCCTTTTTAAAACAATGGAACCACCACCCTGGTCCGTCACTCCACATACATTTTACACCCAACTCAACACTGAAGAGACATGTCAGCTAGAACAAACCAAAATTGTCCAGAGAATTCAACATCTCAGAATGGATCTCAACCACACCTGACACCTTGCTTTTGAGGAGCTTCTTGATTGCCTCAGCGATCTCTACCAAAGATATGGTCAGGGCTTCCACGAAGCCTTCAGACCATGTTCCCCAACAGAGGACATTTCAACCGGGTTTAGGACCTCCTAAAAGTGCTCCTTCCACATTCCAACAATATTCCCTGTGCAGGTCGGTAGTTGTTCCCCCCAGCAGCAACTGCAGCCCCTCTGGCCCCCAGTACCTGTCTGCTGCTTGAGGAGACCCCTGGGCTTACCAAGCTTAAAAGGCCTCCATCTTTACATAATGGCCTCAGTCTAATTCAGCACAAGGTGGTGATCAGCTAACAGTTGTTCAGCACTCTTCATCCAAGTGTCCAAGACATACAGCCACAGGTCTGATGATGTGACCACAAAGTCAATCATTGACCTTTGACCTAAGGTTTTCTGGTACCAACTTATACTCGCACATGGTGTTGTTTACGGCCAATCCATGCCTAGCCCAGAACTCCAATAACAAAACACCCCTCTGGTTCAAATAAGACAGGCTATTCCTCTTCGTCCCCTCCCTCCAGGTTTCTTCATCATTGCCCATGTCAACATCAAATTGCCCCAGGAAAACTATAGTCCCTTCCAGGGAGCCATCCATAAACTCGAAGAAGGTCTGGTGCCTAAGTAAAGACAACAGTCAGAGCCCTCCCTTTAGTGACCCCCAACACAGCAGTGTTTAGATGGGGGCTTGTGAGCATCCCCACATCCGCCTGGCGCTTCTCACCCTGGGCAACTCTAGAAAAGGAGAGTCCAGACTGCTGTCCAGGAGTTTGGTTCCAGAACCTTTGCCGACCACTGCGGTCACTCCTACCAGGGGCTATGGCTTCAACAACATGGCTCAAAGGATGACAGGGAGACATCACCCCCTCCACTGCAATAAGGAGGCAGTGTTCAAGGAGGTGACTCACTGCATTAATATGAGTCACTTGAGAATCAGCTGAGTGCAATAAAAATGTCTACAGTTTAGTTGATTTGGGGCCTGTGCTACACAGCAAGTTGGACATAGCCAGGCTTTTTCTGTGGAAGCTGGCTCGACATAACTGAAAACGATAATCATCAGGTTTGCAGATATAACCTTAACTGAAAATCTATCACGCGGAGAAAATATGGTGAAGAAACCCACTGGTGAAAGGATGATACGTCGTACAACTGATTTAAATCCTTCATGGCCTGAGTGTTTCTGTTCTTTTGTCTACTCCTCAGTGTTCGTGGACGAGCCAACTGCCGGTCAATACCTGCGCTCTCCCACCAGGAGGCGCCGAGCTAACTCCCACTTCCTGGAGGAGATCTTGCCTGGAAACCTGGAGAGGGAGTGTTACGAGGAGAGCTGCTCGCAGGAGGAGGCTGCCGAGATCTTCCAGACCAAGGAGAAGACGGTACGAACCCACAGTGGTCCGACCTGAGGGTAGGGACCCCACAGAAGCCCACCAGAAACACAAACTGGATCACAGGCTACTTTAGAAACTGACATGATGTAACTTAGCCCCTAATTTAAAGTTTAAGCCTCAGCGAATGACATCGTAGCAACTCTTCAACCAGTCAATGGTTTGGAGCCGACCAGTTCTTACTCTCTGTGGTCCAGTTTCCTTTGTTCTTGTCAACATAATATGTCTCTGTAGTTTAGTCCCTGTTTGCATTAGTTTAGCATCTATTTGTGCATCTATGTTTATTGGTCTGGAGTTTCTCTGCAGCAATTTGTAGTCCTTTTGTTTGACTAAAAGGGGATTTTATCTCTCTTTGCATTAAATGACCATTTGTTTGTGTTAATTTTGTACCGATCTGTGTTTGGTTCTGTCTCTCTGTGGTCCATTCGCTTGGTTTTCTGTTCTTTCTGTGTGCCTTTGTGATTGTTTCTCACTATTTATCGCTGTTTTGTAGAAACTGTACTGTGTGCAGATCTGATATTTACCAAGGGCAGAACATACAAAATATGTGGTGTCTTTTTAATGTCACCACTGGGGGGCACCAAAGTCTCCAAATAGTGCTTTACAACACAGACACTTTATATTATATTTCCTGTTTTTATCCAGAACATTCAGTGAGGTCAGACCCTGACGGTACAGCTGTAGGTATTAACTCTGAATTTCTCTCCCCACAGCTGGAGTTCTGGTTCAGATACAGAAGTGAGTAGGATCATCGTCAACATTCTAAAAGAAAAATCCCTCCATGAGCTGAGTTGTGTTCGAGTGTCTCCCTGTGTGTCGTAGATCTGAACCCCTGTCGGACCAACCCCTGTCTGAACGGAGGCATCTGCACTCTGGACCGAGGAGAGTTCATGTGTCTCTGCCCTCCACAGTACCACGGCAAGATCTGCGAGTCAGGTAAACAATAAACGAGACTTAGGTAAGCTAACGCCTGCAACTCAGGTAAACATGTGATGACTGTACATGTGTTGTATGCAGAGGTGTTGGAATGTCGCTATAGAAACGGCGGCTGTTTGCAGTACTGCAGAGACCTGCCAGGTGGAGCTGGAGTCCAGTGTGGCTGCGCTGATGGATTCAGACTAGACTCTGACGGACAGAGGTGCTCTGAGGATGGTAATACTCCCGGCACACATTACTTATAGGACTCCTGCAAATACCATTAATGTCACCACTCCGCATTCGCCCTGTGCAATATCATACATTTATAATGAGTCTAAACTTCATCACCGTACAGCAATTAGGTTGTTTCTACAAATGTCATCTCCCCAACACTTCTTGTACTCATGCATCCCCACATCATCACATTCCTACCTCTGTGCGTCACTGTCAGGATGATGCATTCACTTTGGCAGTGCTGGTTCACACCAAACATGCTAGACCCCATCTGAGTCAAACAACTGGTTTGAGTGTAAGTCTGAATCGCAGTACTTCCTTTTCCAGTGGCGTTCCCCTGCGGTCGTCAGCAGATGGAGGCGTTGGCCCATGATCGCTCTCTGTTTAGTCGCTCTGAGTTGGACAACGCCACTGTGGAGATGGACGTCATGTTGGATGTCAACATCACAGACAACCTGGGCCCTGAACTCAACACGACAGTGAATGCAACATCTGTACAGAAACAAGAGAACCAGACAGAACCGATGAGGGAGGAAGACACTCGTATCGTCGGTGGACTCCTGGAGAAGCGAGGAGGAAGCCCCTGGCAGGTTCTGAGTTTCTTCTGTGTCACTTCTCTTCTTCTCTACATTTACTGACATTTGTGGTGAAATACTGTCTGTTTGTGTTTTTGTGTGTTCAGGTCCTGATCCACAGGGATGATGGTTACGGTTTCTGTGGAGGGACTCTGGTCGCTGACCGATGGGTTGTTTCTGCGGCTCACTGCTTCACAGAGCGGCCCGACTACGTTACTATAGGTAACAACATGTGTCCAAACTGAGTCCTTCAGCCTGATATACAGCAGCTATAAGAACCATTTAGCTCCCTTGGAAGGCTTTCTCCCTTTATTGCTTTTCATTAATGATTCACAGTCAATATAATTTGGCTTTTTCAAAAGACTTTACAAAAAAAGACTTTAATGTCAAAGTTAGACTAGAAAATAGAAAACATAAAATATAGGATTGCATAAGTAATTTTGAACATTTTAAACACATTTAAGTGTCTGGTGTATCTGCAGGAGACTTTGACAAGAAGCGCCCTGATCCAGGAGAGCAGGTGATAAAGATCCAGGAGGTCATCGTTCACCCTTACTTCCACTCCTTCACCTTTGACAGCGACATCGCTCTGCTCTACCTCGCCCAGCCTGTGGTCAGGAGTCCCACCGCCACACCCGCCTGCCTCCCCGACGTCCACCTGTCCAAATACCTGCTGAGGGTAACTCTATCTAAAGACCTGCTGCTGGATGATGCTCTGTATGATGCAGGAGTTCATTACTGACCGTTTATCTGTGTTCAGGACGGCAACCGGGGGATGGTGACCGGCTGGGGGGCCACTCAGTACCTGAGTCGATCCTCCAGGTTCCTGAGGAAGGTGACGCTGCCGGTGGTCACGTACAAGGAGTGCACCGCCTCCACTGAGCAGGTGATCACCGTACATGTATTTATAGGCAGAACAATGTCTCATAAAAATGTCATAGTGTAGAATGTTTAAAAAAACTATAGTGCATTAAAGGAAATATAGTGTAATATGTAATAAAAACAATTGTCATAGTTGAGTACATCACAAAAATTGCCATGACGTTTTCTCGACATGCTATACTACGACTTTTTTCGACATGCTGCACTGACTTTTTTTCAACATGCTTTATGATGACTTTTTTCGACATGCCTACACTGACGTTTTTTCGACATGTTATACTATGACTTTTTTATGACATTCTATACTTTGACTTTTTTTCGACATGCTTTCGTATGACGTTTTTTTGACATGCTATACTATGACGTTTTGTCGACATGCTATACTATGACGTTTTTTTGACATGCTATACAATGACTTTTTTCGAGATGCTATACTATGACTTTTATGACATGCTATACTATGATGTTTTTCAACATGCTATACTATGACGTTTTTTCAACATGCTATACAATGACTTTTTTTCGACATGCTATACTATGACTTTTATGACATGCTATACTATGACGATTTTCGACATGCTATACTATGACATTTTTTTCGACATGCTTTCGGATGTTTTTTTGACACGCTATACTATGACGTTTTTCGAGATGCTATACTATGACTTTTATGACATGCTATACTATGACTTTTTTTCGACATGCTATCCTATGACTTTTTTTTCGACATGCTATACAATGACTTTTTTCGACATGCTATACTATGACGTTTTTTCGACATGCTATACAATGACTTTTTCGACATGCTTTCGTTTGTTTTTTTGACATGCTGTACAAAGACATTTGTCGACATGTTATACTATGACGTTTTTTAGACCTGCTATATGACAACTTTTTTTTGTGACATATTTTTTTAAACTCGCTGCCTCCCCCTGCAGGTCATCACAGACAACATGTTCTGTGCAGGTTACTTGGATGTTGACATGGACGCCTGCAGCGGCGACAGTGGAGGACCATTTGTTGTTCACTACAGAGGAACATGGTTTCTGACGGGAGTTGTCAGCTGGGGAGAAAAATGTGCCGCCAGGGGGAAGTATGGCGTTTATACCCGCCTGGGGAACTACCTGATCTGGATCAGAGACACCATGGAGAGGCAGGACCTGAACGGTACCAGGAGCTGATGAAGATGAGGGCGTTAAACCGTCTTCAGAAAGCAGACTGTATCCTGTTTCAGGCTCCATTCAGAGGACTGGACCAGGATTGTTGCATTACATAAAGAGTGAGCAGCATGATACTGAAAAAGCTGCATGAACCAAACCTGAGTCAAGTCTGATCTCAGCAGCAGCAATAACAAGAATCTGAAAGTAGAATACAGAAAGCAATCATGGAAAAGCAACAAAGCACAATTTAGCTGCATTGTTTTTGTACGTTTGGATGTTTCATGTGGCCCACAATAATAAATCTTGACATTTTTTTAGGATACTATACGAATATCCCTCTGGAACATAGTTTCCTATGATGGTTTTTGCGAGATGCTCAATTGTTATTGCTTTTAGGACTTAGTATTGTGTGACTCTTTGCAACATATTGTACAAATGACATTTTACAACATACAAAACTTTAGGTACGTATCCTTGATCAAATGAACTTGAGTGCTACTTAAGTTTAAATCATGCTTATAATCTTAATGTGGCTCAACGTACCTGCTCGTGTTTTTTTTTAATCATATGTGGAAACTTGTTCACTTCTGGCTTTGCAAATATTTAACTTTTGATTTCCCTTTAAACATTCCACAGCATCTTATACTCTTAATGTACAGATGTCAGACATATTCTCAGAAAATGCGACATCAGTCCTTTAATAAAACCTTTAATAAAAACGTTTTTTTCGACATGCTATACTGTCGTTTTTTCTACATGCTATACTAGGATGTTTTT